CTCTTGTATTGATCACTGAATCGATGTCACAATGAAGACAACAACCATACGAAGGACACTATCATCCGTAGCGGTGGTGTGGATGGCGTGTCTGGCGGCGACCTACCGGTGCTGTAATGTGGAGATGTGTTCGCGGGAGTACTCATCGGTGGTGGAGATGTCGTCCCAACAGCAGTGGTCAGCGGTGTCTGAGCAGCAGTACTGCGCTCTCGTGAACGCCTACCAGCACTGCCTCCGATCCATCGGGAAGTCGTGTCGCGGAAACCTGGAGTTCCACACATTGCAGACACTGCTGAAGAACTGGAAGCACGAGCGCAACTGCACCAACGCTATGACAACGGGCGCCGTCGTCTATCGGCCCCAATCCGTGGCCTCATCGCAGCGCAAGTCCGGCCAATCGGTGGTCGTCCAGAATCAGCAGCAGTGGCACCAAAACCAGCAGAAGATCGTCGAGCAACAGGAGCTCCTCCAGCAGTGCCTGTCGGCCGCCTATAACTACACCATCAATACGGACCTATCGGTGCCCATAGACGTGCGCACCGATCATAGGACGCAGAGAGTGGTGACCACGAGTGGACCGAAGCGGTCGAGGGGTCGTGTGGTGCGAGACAATGGCCTTATGGCCAGTGAGTCGTCTGTGAAAACAAACTTTTTTCCCATCAGAGGGGAGACTATTGACAGCGATGTCGACGAAGACATCAATAATAATGATTTCAGTTCTTCGAGTCCAATGCCATCGACTGTGCCAACAGTGAAGCCGTCGGCGCCTCCGTCGCCACCGCTCACGTGTATTATATACGGCGACCCACACCTCAGGACATTCAACAACGAATACCAGACGTGCCGGTGCTCTGGCGCCTGGCCTCTCATAGATCACCCCTTATTTAAGGTTCAAATCACTAACTCCCGAATTAAAGGTATGTTTGAATTGAATGAATGATTAAATGCATTGAATTAATAACACAATAATTGTCTGCTTTAGGGGCCAACCCTCAGGTGACGGGTGTGACCAGAGTTGTGGTTCTGGTGCGACAGTTCAAGAAGTGCGGCATTTTGAGTGATCTCTTGTATGAGGCGGACAGTCAGTCCTCACCACAAGGTAGGCATACATTGATTGTCTGTTTGTCGTATGCATTGAACTAATGTTGATGTGATGTGTGTTTAGGCGGACAGAGAGTGGGCACCCCTTCGTCGACATTCATCGACGGCAGCACATCCAACGCCAATAACCTGATTCGCATCACACAGTCGTCTAACAACAACGTGATTACAATACATTTGGATCACATCGGCGTTCGGGTATACATCGGACAGTTCGAGAGGTCGGCGCACCTGAACGTAGTCATCAAATTCCGTTCGGCCACCTCTACTGTCAAACAGCAACTGGTGCTCAACTCAATCAGTGCCAACTCTCTGTGCAAAACGGGTTGTCCTAAGAGGGAACTCATCGACATTCACAACATATTGAGTGCGACGGGTGTGGACATGAGCGCCACCAACAGTGCTAACAGTGCCTCACAGGCGGACAATACTGTAACAGACTATAAGTCGGACGCCGACTCCGGTGCGACCGACGACGACAGCGGCGAAGACGCGGCGGTGGACGAGGAGGACGCCCGCGAAGACCCGTGTCATGACCTTCACGGCTACTACCGGATGTCGTGTCTGTACGACGTGACCATCAAAGGCGTGAAGGATGTGAATAATGCGAACCGTTTCGCGCAATCATTTGACGAAATGAAGTTCATTCACAACAGTATTCTTAATGGTGTTAATAGTGTGAACCAAAACGATGACAATTCTGTACAAATAATCGCCAATTCATGCCATCGGCTCACTGTCCATAGCGTACAATCATTGCTCATTCATTTGTTTGGCTTTTATTTTTTTATTCATTACTCATTTATTTTCAGATAATGTAAATTATGTATATAATTATATATATATATTATAAATACAAATGAATTACCGGTTATTTTGTCAATAAATTATATTTAGATTTCCTTTTCTAAAAATATTGCTTATTATATAAATACGCGACTCTTGAGAGTCTGTGTTATATTGGGCTATATTTAGCTCTCGTTTTCATTGAAACTCTTGTCAATTATATACGATAAGTAAATCACAACTAATGGCCGGCATTTGCAAAGGGATGTCAGTGTATGCATGTATGCGCTCACCGGACAGGACATCAATTTTCATTTGTTGAGGTAATTAACACCAGTATTGGAATGGATGAGAACCATCACCTCAGGCATAGCCAACCCATAGCTCCTCAGCGCTCTTGACGTCACATCACTTCAAGTTGTGTTGGCCTTCACTGTGAAGGACTTTGCCATCCCTTCACGAACAGATATCATTCTCACGCAAAGTCAACACTTTTTCCCATTCATACCGTTCCTATGCACTGCTGGCTGTCATGAATAGGCCCTACGCTATACCTGAAGTTATGAACACTTTTATAACAATTGCTGTCCATTGGGAAAGGGATGAGCAATGCTTTTACAGATCTCTCTCTCAGTTTACTCTCAAATATTTGACTTCTTTTACTGGAATTAATTTCTGAAGAAAATCAATGCATTTTGTTTTGACAATAAAAAATATTTTTAGTGTACTTTTATAAGACAATTTAGTGTCAAGTTTCTGAGAACTTCAATCTTATATATTATATTGCATTTAGATTTTAATGGTTATTGTTTTCTCACAGTATAATCTCGACTAATTTATAAATTTAAGTTTAACTAAACACAAATAAAAATTAGTAAAATTATGTCTAACTGTCTCCATATAGGCGCACAAATATTTTATTAGTCAATAAAAGTAGTGATTAGCACTTGAATTAAAAGTTCTAGGCCTTACAGCTATGGTACTGTATTTGCAATTTTGCATATGAGAGTTTTAGAGTTCAAACTTTTAAACCGTAATCCCATTATAATGGAACTTTTGCTGTACATTTGCACAAGTGTTTGTCCAATTATGAAAAAATCCAATTAATATACATATTGCCGTAATATATCTGTAATTAATTTTCATAAAAAACGATATGAAACTGTATTGCAAAATGATTTATTTATCAGTTGAATCTTTCAAAATAGACAAATTTACAAAATTCTGTTACAATAGAAGCAAAAAATATCATTTAAATAATTATCTATAGTTTTTTACTAAAAAGTGAGAAATAGTTTTGATTCTGCAATTGAGAAATAGTTTGATTACAAATTCAAAGATTTATTGAAAAGTAAATAATAAAATAATTAAAATAATTTATAAATAACATTTGCGATGCATTATAAGTGCAAATATCATTCATTAGTGCATCACATCTCTTATCCTTAATAATAATAATAATAATAATAATAATATAATTTCTTTATACAATTAAACAAAATAATAATAATAATAATTATCTAATTAATTAATCAAATATATACTCAATATTTACAATAATATAAGAAAAACAACACAATTGTGCATCAATTCAATTAGTATTGTATGTATTTGTCTACAGGTATTGTCGTGTGTGTCGGTGCAGTCAGTTAGTGGTGATCATCACTTGAGGATCTGGAGGCCGGACCTGACGTAATGCACCAAATGGTCGAACGATGAGTTGAGACTCAGAGATCCGCATTCGTTATCTAAGGCAACGAAGAATGCTTTACACGAGGGATGCTTTTCGATGAGATGGTCGGCCTGTGTCCAGAGGTCGTGCGCCGTGTGGTACTGTTGCAGGAGAAACAGTTGGCGCTGGAGTGCCGTCAACAGTGCGGCCGGAATTTGCACGCAATTGTCCGCATTGTTCACCTCTTGGGTTTGGCTTTGGATCAGTTTATTGTTGTCGCGAATCTCCTTCGACTTGATTCGACTCAACTTCAGGTACAGCAGCGACTGACACCTGTAGCTCAGTGTCGTGAGCTTGTGGTCAGTGGTGGGCACGTCGGCCGAGTGCGGCGACCGGGACTTAGAGAACTTGTTGGTTATGGTGCGGATCAGGTTCAGCGTCTCCTTATACATGAGGCACACCTTCTCGGCCTCGTTTGTGGCGCTCTTCTGCTCCATTGCATTACCCGTTAGTATGAAATAGAGGACGGCCTCTAAGTATTTGCACGCCTGCACCGTCCGATCGGTCTCCCTGTCCGCCGCGTGCTTTAGCCGCTTAGCGGACAACAGGAAGTCGTCGGGTTGGCCCACAGTAGCCGCGACCGGAGAGATCTCTGGCCCCGTTCGCGTCGACGAGGAGGTGGGGGTGATGTTGGGCGCCGTCGTCGTCGGCGGAGGTATTGTCGCGAGTGATGTGTTCGTTAATGAAGGCATTAGTTGTGGCGGCGAAGAGTGGGTCTCCCTCTCCCTCTCCTGTTTGACAGAATGGCTGAACGATGTGCTGCTGTCCCGCATGGGAGGTGTGGTCGACCAGTGGCTGAGCTGCGCTGAACTGTGCGAATCGTTGTCCTGTTGTGGTGGCGATGCTTTCGATGACTTCTTTTTCGACGAACCGCTACTACTCTTAGACTTTGACTCCTTTCTGTTCGTCGACTCTTTGGTCGAATCGTTACCCGAACTCTTAGTTTTGTCACTATTTTTCAGTTTTGTATAACTGTTCCTATTATTTGTATTATTATTGATGTCCTCTTTTGCACTCTTAGTGTCCAATAAGTCCATACAATCACTATTAAGGCTAAGACTACCATCACTGCTGTCCAAATAGGTCTGACCAGGAATTCGCTTCAAAAGTGTTAACTTAATCGAAACGATAAGACTCTTCGGCGGATAAATAATATCATTAATTTTGTCGTATTTGTCGTCGACTTTAAATCTCTTTTGCGGCGATTTGTCTGAAATGTTGCAACGATTTGAATGGTTTTGTTGGATGTGTTTTGAGGTCGGATGCACTGTCTGTTTGGGAAATGAGTTTTGCTGTTTTGGTGTCACTTCCCGATTGTATGTCTCACTCGAGTCCGTCTCCACATTTTGCGGCCAATTCTTGCGCTTCCGGTTGGGCGGCGGGGGTGTGGGCGGCGACAGACTGCCGCTACTGCTGGACGAGCTCATGCTCTCTCCCATCTCACCCTTCGCCACCTTCTCGATCACGTCTGCCATCGAGTCGTAGGAACTGTTCTTAAGGGTTGCGTTCGTGGACACAGTGGTCGATGTGGTGGTCGTAGTGGTCGTCTTCTTATCCATAAACGTCTCCAAATCCCAGACGTCCGCAATCTCTGGCAATGTCTGCGCCGTCTTCGGCGTCTCCTGTCTTGAGGGCGGAATGTCCTCCAGTTTGACACTCTCTTTGTCCGAAGCCTTTTCCTCCTCATCGCTCGACTCGGAAGACGACGACGAGATGGACGACGAGTTGCTGGACGTGTCCGACGAGTTCTCCGACGAACTCGTACTTCGGGTCCGTTTTGTTGTACTATAGCTTTTAGAGCCGTTCTCGGCGTCAGACTTCGATGACTTCCTCTTAACCTTACTGTTCATCACTTTATTATTATTATTGTTATTATTATTAGTGAAAGACTTTTGTTCATCAATGGATCGGCCGCTCATTGCATCGCTATTCGTGTCATTCATGTCATTATCGTCGACGGCGTTAGTCTTACGGCTATTCTTGTCCACCGTTTGCCCACGAATTTCAGAGTCATTGCAATGAATGTTATTATTGTTTGTATTGTTATTATTGGCGACAAAGTGTTGGCTATTATTAACGCTATTATTGTTGGCATTCATTGAGTACTTATTACTCGTCGAGTCGTCCGAGTAGTCGTCCAAAGCGGTGATCGGTTCCAACGTGTGCTTCATCTCCGACAAGATCTGCTCGATCTTCGCCTTATGGCCTTTGATTCGCGTGATCTCGCGGGTGGAGATCCCGAGCAGCGGTTTCGGGTCATTGATGAGCAGCAGCTGCACGGAGTCGAAGTCACCTAAAGTCGATTTGATCCGTTTGGTGGTCTCGTCGTCGTTGCTCTTACGGATCGGTTCGCCGAAGAGCGACGCGTTCGACGGGTTCTGCAGCGACGGTGTCGTCAGTTGGCGTTGACTTCTCTCCCGTTCCCTCTTCTCCTGACGCGAAGAGATCTCGCGCTGCGAAGACATCTCACAGTCAGTCGTTGCGGACAAGCAGTCACTCAAGAGGTCAACCAAACGGTGGTTAAAGGGTTTAGGTCTGAGAGACGTGTTTATGATATCTATTTGAATGAGTCTTTGCGAGCGTGTCTTACGAAGACAATCAGTGGTCTGCGGCTCACACGAGGACTACATCGCGGGTGACAATCAGCGAAGACATGGCACACAACTCACGACATGATACTCATCACATGAAACACATGTTTGACCACTGATTCACTGATTGCAATGAAATGATAGCACAAACCACTGGCGACTAGCCGTGTGTTTGGTATGGGATGACCACTACTACTACTCGGCTATAGTCGTAAACCTCTGGTATCACTAATAATAACCCAAATTGACTGCAATTTTCACTAAACGTTAAAACAGTTTAATGTTAACACATATTATGCTCCACTGTATCGCCAATAGGACTCAACTCATAAACAACTTTCGCAGACAACGTTACGCCCGGCACTACAGCCCCCTATGAGACCTATTTATAGCCGATTGACAGTTAGTTGTCAATTGTCTTACCATTGAATTAATGGTAGGAATACTAAAGGAAGTGAATATTCGCGCGATTATTGTCTGAGAATCTAATGTGTATTCATGTCTAGCAATGTATGGGTGCGATGAGTGTGTGCTTAAAGGTAGGGCTAATTGCGGGACACACTCTCACCTCACACTCGCTCATCATATGTGTCATACAGTGTATGAGAATCATAATGAGATGAACGGTGTATTGGAAATGTTTGTCAAAAAATTATAAATGATATGAAGCTTAAGGATATGCATTGAGTGCCTGCCGTTTGAGCGCTATCTCGACGTCAACCCATTTGTGCCATAATTTTCACGTCTTTTCTCTCATTTTCAAGGGTTTTCATATGAAAACTGATTGACTCGTTGAGTCCGATATGAAAACTTTAATTCGAGATAACTTTTATAGAAAACATATATTATGACAGTACTTACATGAGATCAATGATGAGGGTAGTCTAGTTGTTGGATGACCTGGCTCACACGCTCGTCAACTGTTATATTAGGAAATTCACCAGGGCATTATATATATACCTTACTTGTCACAAAGTTGGCACCAGTTTCGAAATATATTACCCAATATCAAGTGTAATATATATTATGAATGATTAGTGCAAATTAGTTGTGAATTTTATGCGAAAACATAAATTTCTAGTCAAAAATAATTTGCTAAATACTAGAAGTAATGAATAATTGTATGGAAAGTAGTGTTGAATTATGAAGTAGAGATCCGGAAAACTTAGTGATTTGTCGCAACTTTTATAACTAAACACTCGACCAATAATGAGTTAATTACTTCATTCAACAGTATTATAACTGTTACTGAATGTTAGCATTTGAATGCAATTAATCAATACTTCCTTTATTTGCCGTTTGTTTTGCTTATTTTACATCATTTTTATTACTAAATAAATGTTGATATGAATGGCATTTTTGGACAATGAGTTTTATGTGAATTTAGTTTTCAATTTCTATTATTTTAATCATTCGTTTATTCCTAGGATTCAAAGTATCAAAGTCTCATTTAAATAAATACATACAATTAGATTAATAAGTTTAGCATTGAGACAATACAATTACTAGTATTTCTAAACTAGTATTACTAGTATTAAAAGTATTACTAACAATATTGTATTATATTATAAAGTATTTAAAATTAATGTATTAACACAATCCACTCATTTAATTAATTAGCGTTCAATATTGAAATTTTGTCAAATGTGCAAGGAACTTTGAGAATAATGTTATAATTTCTAACTTTATTATTATGAAATAGAATATTTTGTTTGTAAAATTTATATAATTACTAAAATGAATAAAAATTTAATTTGTAAGATTTAAGGATTACATTATAATGAGAGATAAGGTGCAATATTAAAATTGATGAGATAATTGCCAATTGAGTACATGTTTGAAGTTATGACAAGAATTGGCACAAAACACCGATTCTCTCACTATTATGCCATTCACTCAATAGAGTGCACGCAATGTGTGTCAAGTGTTTACTCTTTATTATTGCTTCACATATAATGTTACGTTAGTTTTGGGTAAACAATAATATAACAATTGATATGCAATGTAACCACAACTAGAGGGGCATATAATTATGTAAAACTTACGTAACGGTATGTATGGCTAGTGAATGTATATATGTAGCATAGTGAGGAATTTGTGATGATCATAATCAGTGCAATAAATTGGATTATTTTGAATATATTTGTTTATAAATGTTTATGAAATAAGTGATTTGATAATTAACTAGTTTATTAATGTGACCATGGTGTCTGTGAAGAGCATAGCGTGTAATCCACTGCTAATCCCCATATCATTGTTCACATTAAGCTGTGTTTGGCTCTACTTTTTGGTCACAATTGCCCCCAAACTGGACGACACTCACGGGTTAGCCATTCATATGATTGACTCATTTGCTTGAATTACTTGTCATTTGGGTTTGGGTTTTGTATGCATTGAATTGAATTCATTGAATACATGTTTACCATTATATAAGACAGTATAAGACAATGAGATTATTGAGCCACCGGTGCAGTGATTGTATCATAAGTTTAATAAGTGCTTCAATAATGTCTAATCTGTTGATCCATTCAGTGATCACACAATACCTGATGTGAAGACCTCATGAAATGTCTAAAGTGTGGGTCATTTGCACGCATAGACTGTGGGTGTAGTCTATGTGGTGTCCAGTGATATAAACACATGAATGGTTTGTTTGAATTAATGGCTCAAATTAGAGACAACTTTGATTAGAGTCTTACTTTAGGTTAGGTTAGGTTTGACTCCCTTTCCCATTAAACACAATTTTGAAGGTAATGTCTGTCAAAGTGAAATCCCTTTCCCTTAATTGTGTCTTAGATGATATGCACCGGTAGTATCAATTAAACAATTAGCTTATTTTAAGTTTATACATTGTACAAACAAGTTTTAAAATTACAAGTTATAAACCACTTATAAAAATAATTTGCCAAAAGTGACTTAATAAAATGCTATTTGGATATTTGATTACTGTGGGATATTTCAGTATTAATAATTGGTTTAATTAACCCGCTAAATTATCTACAAAGTAAATTTATAATTATATTGTATTTTGCTTAATTGTATAAAAATATAATTAATTTGAATTGGATTTAGGGGTAATAAAAAACAATTAATGATATAAATAGCACTGTGTGTATAAAATGCAAACAAATTTCAATGATTTGTTTGATGAATGGATTTTTGTGAGACATTTGGTAATTGATGGACATTGGAGTGACATATCATCACCACTTCGATGGCCTATATATGGCACCAAATGATGAATTATTGACGAAATATTTAATTTTGATGACGAATGCCATTGAATGGGTATTATATAAGGCACTGGTATTAAGTGATTATATAATGGAAAGTGTGTCTAAATCTAATTGTCAGCAAAAGTCAAAAGTCGAAAGTCTGCGAAACTTCTAATATTGAAAATACTCGCAAACTATTGATAACATAATGTATCGACAATTTAATTAGCGAACCAAATGTTACATTGAGTTGACATACACTGCGCTAACCATTTGTGAGTCGTTTTTCATTAATGAACTCATTTAACATTTCAATAGTTAATTATGTTTTGGATATAGTGATGCCTTTCCCTTCCAGTGCTCACCGAGAATACGCGTATTTACTTCTAGTTTTCAATGCCTTTAAGCCTTTATTTTAGTTTAATTGTTCGCAAAAAAACAGGAAACTCTTCGCCAAAAACTCAAATAAAAGTACTTTTTGACAACAAATTAATGCATTTTTTCAGTCGTAATGCCATGAAAAGTGTACTGACATTACTGTACATATATTTTCCAATTGCTATTGAAATGACATTTTGAAAGACGAGATGACATCTGAAGAAAAAGTAGAAAACAAGTGAAAAAAGTGTAGACAAATATTGTGTGTTTGTTTGGCTATACAGTAAGGAAAAGGAGATTTAAAAAACAAATCAAACAAACATTTCGCTATATATTACGAGACATTTCGATGAATCCAGAATTGCATTAAAAGCCTATTTTCCATTTATTTTGTCTCTAAAATTTGAGACCAGAAAAAAATGTTCAGTTTTTTTGCTGTAGACTTGAATTTGTGTTTTGATTTGGATTCACGAATGAATGCCTACTCTTTGGCTCAATGAGTGAACCATTAATTTAAATATTAAACTAAATGCGAGAAATTAATTTAAATTAGGAATTAAACATCTCGTCGTGTAAGCAATAAAGTGTAATTATACAACTAATTTGATATGAATTTAATGAGATAATGAGTGCATTTTCAATATCAAGTACCATGGTATAAGCATTCATTTCATTAGTATTGGGAGTGTATATGCGTTGAGAATTATGGGGAGAGATTGTATGCAATACTGAATGCTTGATTCATGAAAGAAATAATTGATTGGATTATTAAGACTTTATTCAACCATAAGTTCATTCATCATATATTGTGTCGAAAAATATTTTTAATGAATATAAGCGTTGAATGCTATTGTATTTTGCTAAGCCTTTAGCGACAAACGATATTCTCGTATCAAATACGTGAATACTTTTATACAAAAATAAAACTTATAATAATTAAACAGAATAATAAAGAACTGTATATTTAATTATTGATAATTGACAAAGACTTAAAAAAGATTAGAAAAATGTGAACATAAATAATGAAGTTTCGATTTTGGCTCATGGTATAAACTCTTGTTTGTAATTATATTGAAATAAATAACTTTGATTATGTGTTTTGTAGTATTTATAGCATAAGAATGTACGGAAAATTAAGATCGATTACCGTGCGATACATGAGGACATATCAATTGTCTTAAGCCTATGACAGTGTTTGAAGCAATTGATTGTTAAGTCATTAGTATTTGCCGTAACCTTTAAAGACATCGCTTTTTGTCATTTAAACTGAAATCAATTATTTTGAGTTAATCTTTAGTCAAAACCATTCATTTATAAAGAGATGCGAAACGAAACGTCTAAAAGCTATTGATTAGTCTATTATTAAAGCGACTAAAAGCTGAAAAAATTGAGATAATTATTGGGATTTGTATTAAACCAAACTTATTGAGAGAGCGTTTGGTTTCTATCATTAATTACATTTTAATAATGGCTTCAAATGTAGCCAACATTTAGTGATTGAAAATATCTGTTACAACAAAATTGTCATTTAAATTACTTTTGAATGCACACCAATTAATTAATTTGCATTATTATAGAGATATTAATAGTTATAAATATACCGTAAGTCTTAACATTCACTGCCATTCACTCGTAAAAAGACTTTTTTGTTTCATTTTTGCCTTTAAAAGAAATGAATTCTTATAACAATTCAAAACATTTAATAACTTTCAAAACTATAACATATAATCATTTGTCAAAAGTAGTCTAACTTTACAATGGAGTGGCATTTTGTGAGCGAAATATTAAATAAAGATTTTATTATTTTTCGACGAAAAGCGAGGAAATATGAAGTGTCTCTTAATTATATGATTTTATTTTCGTATTTTCAAATAAGACTTTCCTTCTGTGTATTTAAATCACTTTTCACACTATTTTTATTAAATTGATTTTTTTCGCTCACATATTGTTTTCTATACGAAAGGCATATATTTTATATAATATTCTGTATATTCTGTATACACTGTACCCGTAATGTAGTGTAGAATAAAGTGCATTGAAGACTATTTTGATAATAGCTTTTTTCCCCTGTATATACATACAGTACATATTGAGTCGATATTTCAAAACTAGAGTTTGATTTTTTAAGTTGTTATCAAAATGTTTGATCTAAACCTAAATGAAAAATGTATTGATTTTTATTTTGTTATATTGTATTCAAAATGATTGAAGCGAATCGGATTCCCTGCGATTTCCCAATAGTCTGAATCAATTGAAACAACTCTCGAGTCTATTACTGGCTTACAGTCAACTGAACTCCACATATGTTTTCGTGTTATTCTGCTCGGCCTATGTGTTCAAGCAGACGTTTGCCATACCCGGATCACTATTCCTGGTCAGACCCTGAGCATATATCGCACGCTATTTGTTTGACTTTTGTTTCACTCAAAAGTGAGGCTAATTTCTATCATTTTGTTTGTTTGCATGGGTTTACCGCAACAGAACCTATTGGCCGGCGCTCTCTATAACGTTTGGTTGGGTTTCCCGTTATGTTGTCTTTTGACAGCAATCGGCGCTTCCCTTTGTTACACATTGTCCGCCGTTTCCGGAAAGGTTTATATCGTTAAGTATTTTCCAACACGTATTCAATACTTGCGACACAAAGTCCATGAGAATCGCTCGCAACTCATATACGGCCTCCTCTTCCTCCGCCTCTTCCCGATGAGTCCCAATTGGTTTCTCAACATCGCGTCGCCGATCATCGATATACCCATTCATCTGTTCTTCATATCCGTCTTCATCGGTGAGACAATTGTTGAGATAATAATTTGCTTACGAAACGTATGTTTGCTTTTTTGGATTAACTTTTGTGTTGTTTTTGATGCATAGGTCTAATGCCATATAATTTCATTTGCGTCCAAACGGGTTGTTTGATCTCACAATTGAAGTCATTGGACGAAGTGCTCGACACGACCACTGTTTTGAAACTCATTGCCATCGCAATGGTAGCACTTTTGCCGGGATTTTTGTTTAGGAAAAAAGTTAAACTTAATGACAAACAAAACACCAATTAGTCTACTTATAGTTATTTTTCAAATTTTTATTAAATTATATATTTTTATAATTATTAGACAACAAATTAATTTAAAATCTAATAATAAAAATGAATTGTTTTACAAATATTTATAATTTGGCGTATTTTTATCACACGTTTAATTATTTTTTTATTATAAATTGATAATAAATAAAAGTTTTATTGATTGAAGTTATTATTTTGTTGTTTTTTAATACAATTGTTTTCATAAAACACTTTCATTTCGTTTGCATTTGGAAAATATATAGATTTTATTGAAATTTCTTTTAATATCAGAATTCGGTTCAGAACTCAATGAGAATTATAAGGAATAAAGATTTTATTTATTTATTTATTTAAATAGCATTCAGTTCTTTGAATTATGACTAGAATTTTGTGTCTCTAAGACTGTATACGAAATGTATATAACAGTGAATGAAACGCAAGAGGGGTTCACGTCTTAACCCAAAAGCTCTGGGTTTTGGAGCCAACATCGGATCGATAGATAGTCTCAATTTGAGGGCAAATATTATTCTCCATCCTAATAGAAATCCTGTATTTTTGAATAATCTAATAGAAAATATGGTTAGGATTTGCATGAATTTATATTGTTAGTTGTGTTTTTGTTATCTAACTTCTTGTAAGTATTAGCTGTGGGTGTTTGACAGCGAACTCAAAACCATTAATAATTATAAGAATTTTAAAATGTTTTCCCACTGAATATGACTATTGATTACGGAATTGTATTTAGAAAATAGGTTTTTGTTAAGCGATTCAGAAAAGGAATTAATATTTTTCGAGATTCTCGAGGGATTCGGTGTTGTATTCGAGAGGTTCGTTCAAATTGTCGCACAAGAGATCCAAAAGAGTTTTATATATATTGTGTGCCTGTGTTTGAACTCAAACTTCAGATGCGATCGTCTGAACGATTGTATGAGGAATCGGAGGAAGAGTTTGAATGACTTAATGATAATTTGATTGTTAAGAGAGAGCAGAAATGCAAACTAATTGAGTGCTGATATGAAAGGCAAATCGTATGATACCCTGCATTTGACTTATGAACAAATATTTAATAATATTTCATTTATAATGAGGAGGAGAAAAAACATATTCAATAAAATGCAACTTTTTTTGACAAAATTTCAATAAAAATCAATTGTAATGACATGTTTTATCGGCGCGTCTAAAGTAACGGTAGTTTTTGTATTTTTCATATAAATTAGAGTTTATATTTATAACAATTGTGTAATTATTTATAACAACAGTTATTAATATATTGTTTTTATCTAAAAGTTTTTGTATAACCGGTAGTATTAGTAACAGCTTTGAGTAGAAGAACAATAAATTATTAATTGTTATTATCATTGAGTTTTGGCTCAAATGCACAAATGAGTTATAAGGAGAGACTGAGAAAGAGTATGTGGTCTACAATACAGAGTACTGTTGGAGTAGTAGATGGTGGTGCCAAAGCACTTACATTTATGCAATTTATTAGATGACATCATTACCACAATCCCAGGGATTTCCAAACAACTGATCATATTTTGAGTCAATCGAAAGCTTTTATTTCTGATCGTATCTTACTTTTGATTAATTAACTCAAATTAACTGGTCATAAATAAATGAAATTATTTTTATTGTCAAACATTTAGGTTATTATTCTGTGTTTCGGGGTTTCGTATCAAATAAAACATGAATATATAAATCAAACTATATTTACTAAATGTTGTTTGTATAATTAGGTTTTAAATCAATTGTTATATAATTTGAGTCAAATAAAAAACAGTGATTTAGTGATAATGTGAACAATTGGCACGACTTTTCAAAATTCTTAATTCAATAAACTTTGGGAATCTTTTGGACAAATGTAATCATATTTCACTATTTTATTGCTTTTTACAGTAATAGATAACTTAGAAAGCCGACGAAACTTAACGTAAACAAAAATACAAAATAAAAATATATATACAATACTATTATATAATTGAAAGTTTTTAGTAAAAATATTTTTATAGCGCTAACAAAGAGTCCATTCAGCAAATTGTTTTATTATAAGATAAATAGACTCTTATCTGAATCGACTAATCCTTTAGAAATACTATACAATTCACGTATTAATAGAATTTTAAATTATTATTGAAATATAACAATACTGTATAATATTTCAATGACATTGTAGACTCAGTTCTCGATATATATTTTGTTACATCAAAAATATTTAATACTATTGTTTAAATTTGCGTGGAAAATGATTTAAATTCGCAAACGTTTGTCTCAAATGAAAAACAAGGTAATAGAATATTCACTTTTGATTGAATCAGTTTCAGAATCAACAGAATCCTTTGAAAATATACTGTATGTGTAATGTGTGTGTGATTTTGGCAAATATTTTTTTCAAAAAATTTAATATAAAAAAATTGTTTCGTTTAAAGAGAATCCAAAGTTTCGCAAATTCTCGACACATATATAATAAACGATTGCAGGAATTGTTGAATGAATTGGAATCAGAATCAGAATAAAAAAGTAATGAATAACTGCGAGAATATATCTCATATATTATATATAGTGTTCAGTAATGTATGAGAGAAAAACCGAAAAACATTTGGAAATCCCTGCAATAGATTTGAGTAAATCAATGATAAATCGGTTAGTTTTTAGTATTAATTTTTTTGTGAACCTTTTATTCGTAACCAAATTTAAACTTCGAGAGGAAAGTGTCATATAATTTTAATCTATAATTTGAAAAAATGTATAGAATTTATAGCAAAAGTGAGAAGACATCAAAGGGTTGCCTCGTTCTCCATCCGATCCCTGGACGTGATCTCAACGCTACTGCAGAGGCCGGTAGTACTCCGACGCTCCTCACGAAAGTGAATCATATTTTTATTGTCTGTAAAGCTCTCGGCAGGAGTGGCGCCGAACTCATTGGCCACGAAGTGACCCCTTTCGGTGCCGTACTGGCTCTGGTAGGCCTCCTGCCGGAGCCGGGAGCCCATTGTCGCGCACTGGAGGCACAGGAGATATTTGAACGCTCGACGAAAGTCTTGATGAAATGTTACGTAAATTATTGGGTTCAACATCTAATGGATAGGAAATAAATATGAAAAATGAATTATTTGACTGGAATTTAGTCCGCAATTCATAAAGAAGACGTTAATCATAGAGGACTGGTATGTGGAGGTAATTAGATGGTGGAAGTACTAGTGATCTACTCACGGAGTTGGCGTAACCCAACCATAATGTAGTGCTCGTAACGAAACGAGGAATTTGTACGACAGAGAAGGGACTCAACAGCGCCAGTAGGAAGAAGGGTAACCTATTTTGAAGCATTCAATTAGTTGAGTATATTGTGTGCAATTTGATTGTCATTTTCATTGGATTCATACCAGCAAACAGTGAATGCAGTCATTATGACTCCTGAAACAAATGCATGGAAAATATATGGGTTTAGTGTGAGATTGAATGATCAGATTCTGAATATAATATAATATAATATGTAATAATATAATACACGATACTCTGGTATTACTGCATGTTATTCTCATTCTCTTATATATGCTATAACTATACTCTTATATAATATCTATACAAAAGGTTTTATTGAAAAGTGAGTGAATACTAAATACGGCATAACTTTGGCGATAAGTAGAGCGCGAGAAGAGCACTCGTATTATAGGGAACGGTATTATGTGTTAAAATGAGATAATAATGTAGAAATGATGGCCAATCGCTAACCTAAAGTAAACGATGCCTTTCGCTCTCGCAATGCATTACTCGTCCGTCGTTTGAATGCATGACTCGATGTATTGATTGTCGACGAGTCTGAGGAGCGCTTGGTTTGGGCGTCGAGTCCCGGCTTTAATGATGATGTCTGCGATGGTTGCGATGGCTGCGTGAGTGGTGTTGTCGTAGCACTTCCGGTGCTAGACATGCCATTTGTTTGTCTCGATGTCTTGGACACTGAGAACTGGTCTGCGTTTATAGCTATTGTTTCCGTTTTCTGAGTATTTTCATAACAATCGCATCCTTTGATTCGCGTCCAGACGTGGTTTGACTCCACTTTCCCCATGTGATTGTCGGCCGAGTTTTGCTGACATTTCAATAGTGGTAACTGCGGGGTGTGTGGCGTAGCCGTACTCGGCCTCTGATCTCTCTGTTCCGCTTCGACCACTCTTTTGGCCGCTAAATATATCTTGTAATACACGACAATCATGACTGTGAGGGGAATGTAAAAGGCAGACAAAGTGGCGTACAGCTGGTAACCAATGTTTTGGCTCACTTGGCACGTGGCCTGGCCCTCCACGCCGTGCTCATTGCCCAACACCAGCAATGGGGGGATACTTATGAGAACACTGGCCACCCATACGGCGCCGATGAATGACAAAATGCGTTTCGCTGTCCGCCGCACGCCATATGTCAGCGGCTTTGTGATCGCCAGATAACGATCTGATCCATGCATTCAAATATACATACAATCATATCATCAGTACAACGACAAAGTCAGACAAAGTCAGAGCCAATCATACAAATTAATATAAATACCAACTATTCTGCTCTCACGTTACACACAGAATATTCTCTCTCTCTCTCTCTCTCTCTCTTTCTCTCTCTCTCTCTTAAGCTCCCAATACCCCGACACCAATAGCTTAGGCCAAGTATATGCAAAAGTGTGCGCCTGTTATGTCTGTTGAGCTAATTTGCGAAAACATAATAAGGAGCTGTCATTCACTGATGTGATGCCGGAGCCCATGTTTGTACCGATGGTGTGATGTGTGTTGAAAATTAGTCTCTCTCTCCACTCTCTCCATCTCTCTGTTTATAACTACACGTAATACCAGTCAATGCATATTACTATATATTTTACAGATCTCTCTCTCTCTCTCTCAACTTTCTTTCTTATTGTGAATATAAAATGACATGAATTCATACCGATTGAGATCATACATAGATTAAGGATAGATGAGGTACAGCACGTCACGTCAAATGACACCCAGAGATCGCATATACCAGGGCTTAGATTCCAGGTGCCCGTCAACTCGTAGTGAAGGGCTAACGGCATCACCAGAATCGCGACGCATAAGTCAGATATTGCCAGCGATACCTATGTATGCCATCATAATAATGCATTAATACTTAATTAGACTAATCTTTTTTATTAATCATGTCACTACATATCAAACATGATTTTATTTGATTTTATTTTTGTGTCTATATTATGGTTAACTGAAATAAATATGTTTTTCTCAAAAAAATCTCATTTTTATTAAACAATAAAAAGATTGACTTCCAGAACAAACAAAAGTAAAGTAGACTTTAAATAAAATATTTTTTTGACTTCTCTGATGATATGATAGTTATATTTTGGACGCAAAGTGTGTTTACATAAAAAATTGTTGGCTTATATTCCAGTGATATATAAGTATGAAAAAGTTTTGATTTCCAAAAATATAAGTCAAAATTTGATGACTGCATCCGACTCTTTATGGATATTATTTCAAATCAGAATTATTCTTAATGTCTCTCAAAATGAATGACAGAAATGCAAGGAAATTGGATTTGTTTTTAACCTTTAAATCTCGGAAAACCATAAATGCTATACTACTATAATAACAATAACATTTAACTGTAAGAATTGGAAAATATTAATAGATGGTTAAATATAAATAATATTTTTAAAAAACTATTATTAAATTATTCCGACATAAAAGCATTTGATGATAATCTAATTTATTTAAACAAAATTATTCAAATTTCAGAGACATGAACAACAAAAAAAGATTACAATAAATCTTTGATTTGAAAAAATGTTAATTCACATGAAAATATCATGGGTTGTGGAAAATTATGTAAATTATTAAAAATGCTATTTACGAGTAAGTAATTGGAGGGATGTCTGAGTTTGCGGACCAATACTACTGAAAGGCAAACTAAAATGTTTCCGATGACAGTCGCGACGATCATTAATCCTAACGACGCGACTAAGAGCGCTTCGAGACCTAAAGGCAAACCAGACAAACATGACATTCATATGATGCGAATCGCGTGGGAAGTACTCTATAAGACAATGTACTGACGCGGAGATATGATATCCTCATCAAAGTCTTGGCTCCGATTCGTGGCAATACTGCAGAGTTCGCTGAGTGTTAGGTTGGCGTCGCCGTAGGTGTCGGTGTCGGTGATGGTGGGTATGGCGTTGTCGAGGTCCGCGGCACCGGTATCGTTGACACACCACGAGAGGATTTGTGAGGTCGTGATACTAAACGAGTTGTTTGTGGCGTCCATTGGCTGGTCTGCGGGCTTATGGACAGACCGCACGACTGGACGATACGAGTTGTGGTGCTCTGCCGACACTTTTATGAGTTTTTCTAATCATATCTAATGGTTGTTGTGTTTGATGTGTGTTATGTGTGGTATAGACGCTGTATTAACTTAATTGTCCTTTTCTAATATCATATAAAAGCTGGTGTTTCCGTCAATCGCTTGAGTTAAGAGATCTCTAGTGCCCGACACTACACTCACATCACTTGACTATTGTATAGCAAAAGCATTCGTTAAAAACGATTTGGTTTTCTCTTCTTTGCTGTTATCCTGAGTCCGTGTATTCATTCAGTTTAGTCTAAAAAGAGAGCAAAAAACAGAGCGAATAAGTGGTCAATAATGTGGCAAATGGTAGACATAAATATCAATCAATCTCGTGATAAAAGTTAGACCTGGTTTACCACAAACTATAGTATTAGCCAGTGTTTTATTAATTCATTTTCTTACACGACATTCAATGCATTGAATTAAGCCGTAAGACATGTGCAAACGGCTTCCCTCCCTATCCTTAACTCATCATTTTTCTAACAATACTAAACCATATTATAATTCTAATGCATTTTTAAAGCTTAACGTTTGACACAAGTTTGGCATAACTTCCTTCCCTCTCATCAAACTTCAACATAAAAAAATTCATTTAACATTATATATACCGAGACTTTCAGTCAAAATATTCAAAAGTATTAATACTGTTTTCGTTTTTATATATTCTATCAAACAATGTATTTATTCTGCAAATAATCCCTTTCCTTGTGTTTACCATTCATTGCATTATACTGTATATTATTGGTTCGCAAACTCTATTTGCATTTCTCTTTAACAATATTTTTACAAAAATAATTATAATTTTAAATATTATTTTATTCTTTAGTGAATAGGATTATATAGATTAACGCCTTTCGAAATTAAATTTAATGGCAAAATAAAATTCATAAACATTTATAACAATTTTAAGCCAGAATATTTGCGACTTTTAAAGTTAAAACAATATTTTCGCAGTCATCTCAAGATATAAACTATTTATTATAAAATTGATACCATTATAGTTTATTTTTATGAGAATACTGTCATGGTAATAATAAAATAGTGTGTATATTAATTATAAATGATTAATAATTCTCAATTTAATATTACAATAAGGGTTCTTAAATTATCATTGAATTTGCTATGAGTAAGTTCACTAACAAGTTATTGTAACTCTTATTTTTTATAATGTTATAGAAATACATGAATTTTATTAACTAATATTTATTTATAAATATTACAACATGAAATATATTACAATATATATATATTTTATTCAATTTTATTACACAAAACAAGACTTTCAATAGCTTTTGGCTAATAACACAATAAGATGTGGTCATAACGACAATCCCTAACCAGAGAGTTATTCCAGTAATTGGCAATTCTTGTGGACAATATAGGTATCACAATAAGCTATCAAAGAACGCTATATAATTATTTATAAGTCTCTCCCAAAAATCATTTCGTATAACAAAAGTTTTAGCTCGAGTTAAATATAATATAGTACGATACATTATTACCTAGAAAACGCTAAGAATTATATTAATATTGAAACAACGAATACATCAGGAATACAAATATATTTATTAGATTTAGCAATTTTTTTACTACTGGTTTATTCTAACTCTAGTAGACATTATCACACTTTTTTTCGCTAGACATTGTGTTACTTGTTATTTATATAACACGTTTGGCATTTCATTTGAGAGTCGTTTTTGAAATTATCCTTTCGATTGTAAAAATGAAGTAAATTCAAGGAATACTATTTGTGTTTATCATCTATTTTCTCGACTCTTACATCTCTGTGTGTAATATTATATTTATACAGTATATAACATAAGGTTTATAAAAAATTTCTAATATTTTTCTTAAAGAAGTGTAGGAAAAGTGCGGAACTATTCTCTTCGGACTTCATTTCCGCATTTGTATGAACCGATTGTTGAGATAATTCACTCGTTTCGGAGTTTTTGGAGATATTTTATTTTAATCAATAAATAATGACTACATGTGATGATAATTTGAAACTCGTACAAATATTATTTAGGAATCTGTAATTTTTAAAGTAATTTTTTACTTCTGACTTTAAGAATAATAATGTGAATAGAGATTTGTTGAATGCATAATATTTTTAGTTTTTGGATTTAATTTTAAAATATAATTTCATTTTTTATTACCGTAAATACATTTTAAATTATAATTTTTCTTTTAAACTTAATTCAACAAAATATGAAAATAAAAACTAAACTTAAATGAAATTTTCTATATAATGGTAACACAAATCTGTATTAAAAGTGCGGGGTCGTATGAGAAAGGTATCACACAATTCATAAGAATTAAATAACAAATTTTTAATAATTGTATGCGAAATAAAATGTAGACAATATTAAAAAATATTAAAAACAATAAGTTAAAAAATAATTATTTTATAATGTCAAATTTCAAAGTAATGTTTGGTTAACAGAATCAAATAAAATAATTTATATCATAAATCTTGAATCGATAACCAACGTAAAGTCCTTTAAATCCAATGCTCTTTGATTATCATTTGTATTGAAAAATAGACTTTAAATTTATTTCAATTGTTTTATTCTTTGCCAAAAATTTTAATGCTTTGATTCGCTTTCAAAGGCAAATGGATTTCTCTAAAGATTTCACTATTCATGCGAATAGGATTTGGGGATCTTTTGCTTTTCTGAGAAAACTTTTTTCCATATAATTCTTTATTACTAAATACAGAGATATATGACATTGTAATGCATTACAAAAATAGATGATAGAGAGAGAGAGAGAGAGATAGAGAGAGAGAGAGAGAGAG